TGTTCTCAATCCTGTTTGCCACCCACAGCCTGTGGCAGCCACTAGTCTGACTCCCATGCCTATGATTTTGCCTTTTCCAGAATGTCATGTGAATGAATCATATAGTCTGTGGCCTTTTGTGTTTGGCTTCTTCTACTTCACATAATGTTATGTTTTTTTCCAAATCAAGCTTAAACCAAAAGCCATAATTTATTCATTTTACTGTCCAACATTCAGTTTTTACATATTGTGTTTGTGTGTAGTAATTCACCAAACCATTGGCCACAGTCTTATTTTAGAGTGTTTTTTTTTAAAGTCATGTTTATTAAGGTCTTATTTCCATACAGTAAATTCACCCTTTTTAGAATGTGGTTCTAGGAGTTTTGACAAATCCATGCCTTTGTGTAAACAGCATCACGATCAAGATACAAAACAGAGGGGGACATCTAGTCAAGAGGGCAAAGCAGGTAAATGCTGTGCTTGCCTCCTCCTGTGACCACATCATGAAAAGGGCTGGTCCCACACCCACTGTGGCAGTTGTGCCAGATACTAAGAGAGGGGAGAGGCCCCTGGCACATGGCTGAAGCAGGGCCTAAACCTCCAACGTGGTGAGCTCTATGATTGGTGGGGGATGGGAGAGGGCTCAAGGCCCGCCCTGCTTATACCTCGCAGGAGCTCCTCTGCCCTCATCCGCCCTAGGCCTGCCTCACTCCAGCCTCTACACCACTTTGCAACCTGGCATGCCCTCCTCTCCAAGCCCCTGACTCACCCTCCACCCCGAAAAAGCCTGCCCAGCTCAGAGGTCAGCTGGGAGGCCTTCCCTGCTCCCCTTTCCAATCCCAGCCTCCTGGGAGGGGGGTGCTGTTTCTGTGTCCCTGGCTTCCGGTGTTGCATTTTCATATTTGTATTGTAGTAGCGGAAGTCCTCAATGTCCTCATCTGTAAAAACCTTTGCTGTGCTGACTAAATGGATAAAGGCACATCAGTGTGTAGAATATAGAAACCCTAGCTAATAATGCCTACTTGTTATGATGGCTAAGTAATCACTATTATAACTGATCGCTCATCCGTGTCCTGCACAAGCCTGACTCTTGCTCATAGAATAAGTAAACGCTCACACAACAATGACAACCCCAGAAGCAGATGGTCAAGTCCAGTCCAAACTCACAGGATTCTTGGCTTGGCTACTGGGTAACAGGGGCTAGTGTGCTGGGAACTGTGCAGGCATCATCTCTGTTAATCCCCATGACAACCAAATCTGGGCTGGGCCAAGGAGAGCAGAGGGATGCTTTTGGAAAACTGCCTGGGGAGAGCTGGGCTCTGTGCTGATTCTTGAGTGGCCAGGACTTGGCCTCTTCTGTTCATCTCTTGTCCCTGGCCCCTAGCCCCTGGCTTCAGACAAAAGACCTGCAGGCAGCCCAATGTCCAATGTCCTGAGCATGGCCTTGTGCCCTACTGGGATGCTCTAGGCTGAGAGGGGTCTGGAATTCCTCAAGGGCTGAGCAGCGAGAGCCGGCCATAGGTGATGCCAGCCCCAATGCCTGGCAAATGGCTCCAGAACCTCTAATCACCCTCTCCTAGTATCTGGCCATTAAATCCCCCCAGACACAGGAGGAGCAGCTGCACCCTCCCCGCCTGCCTTTTAGTCCAACACAGTTAGGACCCATTATTTCTGTCATGTGGATTCTTGAAAAATCATTTTAAATTGTTGCCCTTTTTTCTGCTTTGGAAAAGGAAAGTGCCAAAGAATAGGAAAACAGAAAAGGGTACCCACACATCATGGTCTCCCCCCGCCTTGATCCCTCCATTTCTTCTGACCTGTTCCCTTGGTAACCGTCAACCTGCTCCTGCAATATTCAAAGGGAATCTCAAAACTGCACATCAAATAGGACATGGGGGTGTGTCCAGTTGTCTGAGACTGATGGACAAACAGACATTCAGACATCCAGGGAAGACACAGACACAGAGAGACAGGTGGACAGAGATGGAGACAGAGAGGCAAGGAGAAAGACCCAGCACGCAGAGACAAAGATGCCCACGGAGACAGGGGTGTAGGACCAGAGATGCCAGAATGATGCAGGGACAGACAGACACTCAAAGTGACAGACGGAGAGAAACAGATGTGGGAGAGACCGATCCAGAGAGACAGAGAAAAGACACAAACACAGTGAGATGAAAAGGAAGCAGAACAGAGACGGAGATATGAGACCAGGCAGGGTGGGAGGATGGAAGGAGAGAGAAAAGGGCACAGAGACAGGAGCCCAGAAGAGGCAGAGGGAGAGCCTGAAGCACCTGGTCCTAAGTGCGGGGGGAGGGGAGGCGAGGAAGAGGGGCCTGGCCGCCCGAGGCCCCTCCTAGTCGAGTGTGTCCTTCCTCCTCCAGCCTCTCTCCCTGTCCTCCTGTTCTTGCTTCTCCTCCTGTCAGGCTGCTCACCTCACCAGACAGTTCCCTACTTCCCACACACCTGCTGCCCCTCTGGCCTTTCTGAACACTTCTTCCCAACCCGCCTGAGGGCATGTCCCTTTTGTTGCTACCCATCCCTCCCTGGCCTCATTATGCCTTCCTGAAAGAGAGAATAATTTCTGCTGCAGATGCTAATGGTGGAATTCTAGATATCTTGAAAGAGAATAGGAAAGAAAGTCCCCAAGATATCCCTCAAAGCACATTGTGGGGGCCCCTGTCCTCATAGGGAACTCTGAGGAGGGCCTCAGGAATTCCCCCCTAGGGCTATGGAATGGGGTCAGTGTGTGGGCTGACAGGGCAGCCATTGGGGAATGGGGGAAGGGATCTCAGTCAGCAGTTCTGCCGCCGTGTGTGAATGCCACATCCATTTGCGGGTAGGGTTCAGGATCTGAAGACGGGGTGGCACACAAATGAATACACTAGACAAGAAATATGAATTTAGAAGGCATGGGGGGCCAGGCAGAAACTCCCCTCTAGTGGAGAAGCTCCGAGAAAACTTGGTCCCATCAGCTTTTATTCACTTGAATACACATTTGCCCTTTAGGAATGCATACAGGCATATCAAAGGTAAAGTTTGGTAAACAGTAAAAGGATTATCAGGTTAGGGAATTGCCTTCAGCCATTTGGCCAACAGCAGGGCAATATTATGCTGATTTTCAGCCCTGCTGAATAGTGCATTAATATTCTAACTACTGTTGGTCTTAGCCTCCGGCACCTGTGCCCTTGACCCAGCACCTAACCCCTTAATTTTGCTCAGCCCCCTGCACCTGACCTCGCCCAGGCCTAAGAACCCCGTGGCTGTCAACATCTGACCCAAGTCTAACCACAGGAGCCTGAAGGTTGGGAGAATGGACTAGAGAAGTAAAGATGCTGAGCTCAGAGGTCAGGGGGCAGAGTGCAAAGGCAAAGTCAGGGTCCCCCTTGGAGGGAGACAAACCTACATATAAACACCAGCTCTGCCACTGAGCAGCTGGGCCACCATGGGCAAGTTGTTTAGCCACTCTGGGCCTCAGTTTTCTCATCTATAAAATGAGTAAATACTCCAGAGTGATGCTCAGTGAGGCATCAAGAGTGTATATGTGTAGTTAACTGTGATTTTTAAAAAAATAGTGACAGTAATGACAATAATTCATAACTTTTTGGCAAAGACATAGCTGGGTGCCCAGCTGGGGATCCCAAATTCAGATGACTACTGGGGCCAGCAGCAGGGAGCCTGAGGAGCAAGGTGGGGCTCAGGGGAGGTGGCCCAGTAGAGCTCCCGGACCCATCTACTATGTGGGCCCAGAGCGACAAACTGCCACATTTTCCAAAGGAGCTGGAAATACATCAGAGCTTTGAGTTGTACATATTGGTCACCAGCGCCATCTGTAAAGCACTCTGCAGGCCAAATAAGTAGGTTGTGGCCCCAGTTTGCACCCTGAGTCACAAGGAACTGCAGGCACAGGAGCCCAATCCACTAGCGGGGCACCCTGTTGGGGTTGCTGGTAGCTCCTCAAAGAATAGGAGTGGGCAGAATCTACACACTATATGCCCTAGGGGCAGGGAAGGCTGGGCTGCAGACTGAACCCATTCCCCAGGCCAGCGGGTCAGACTGGACCCTGTTATGCCCAGATTTCAAGATTCCCAAGAAACCGCACCAGGGAGCCAGCCATGTCCGATGCAAAAGCATAAGTAGGAGCGGGCAGAATCTACACACTATATGCCCTAGGGGCAGGGGCGGATGGGCTGCAGACTGGACCCCATCCCCCAGGCCAGCGGGTCAGACTGGACCCCATTCCCCAGGCCAGCGGGTCAGACTGGACCCCACTCCCCAGGCCAGCGGGTCAGACTGGACCCCACTCCCCAGGCCAGCGGGTCAGACTGGACCCCACTCCCCAGGCCAGCGGGTCAGACTGGACCCCACTCCCCAGGCCAGCGGGTCAGACTGGACCCCACTCCCCAGGCCAGCGGGTCAGACTGGACCCCACTCCCCAGGCCAGCGGGTCAGACTGGACCCCACTCCCCAGGCCAGCGGGTCAGACTGGACCCCACTCCCCAGGCCAGCGGGTCAGACTGGACCCCACTCCCCAGGCCAGCGGGTCAGACTGGACCCTGACCTGCACAGGGCCCAGGACCTCAGGGGGGTAACTGCAGTTCTGCTGCAGCCCCACCCCCACCTGCCCTGACAGCAGGGCCTCAGAGACAAGGCCCCCAAGATTCTGACTCTGAATGGCCTCTTTGATGGGGAGGGTCAAAGACCATGGTTCTGTCTCTGTGTGTGTGTGTGTGTGTGTGTGTGTGTGTGTGTGTGTGTGTGTGTGAGTCTGTGCATGCATATGTATGCATGTGGGGGGATGGGAGGGTGTCATTGTTCTGAGGAACTTGATTCAAGCGCAGCCTCCTGGGTCATTTCTGGAGTGTGATTTGGAGGGTCTGGGTGGGCCTGGAAAGTGCACCTGAAGGCACATCCCAGGTGATTCCCATAGCTGCACAGCTGGAAAGCACTGGGCTGGGGCCATGCAGTGTCCTGCCTCGCTCTGAGCCCCATGGTCCTGAGGAGCTATTGTGTTCTCCCACCAGATCCCTGACTCCCCCACTGCTGGCCAGGGAGACCCCTTCTGCCCCTGCTGCTCCCACGCTGCTGAATCTGATGAAAATGTAGGGACCCCTGTTGCTTAGGGACTCACAGGGAAGACTGATGGTGCAGGAACCAACCCTACAAATGTTCCCATAGAGCCCCTGTCTCTGCACTGCTCACGTCCTTCCAGTCCTTTAACCACCAGGACCCTAACAAACGGTGGTGGAGGATGGGGGTCTTCTCTTTAGGAAGGAGGGAGAGGGTTGAAGTGGGAGGAAGACACACCTGAAGCTGCTTGGGAGGTGTTGCCTTGGGAGGCATGTAGACACCAGTGGCCCAGAGGCGCCCTCTCTGGAATGCCCAGCCCCCAGAGGGCAGCGACGGTTGCTGGGACACACCCACATCAGGACAGTCTTGTTGAAACCCAGTGGAGAGCCAGGCACTCCCTGCGGGTGGGGGAGGCCCTGGGGCCTGAGCTCAGAGTTGGGAAAAGCAGACTGAGGCTGCGGCTGCCCGGAGAGCTGAGTCCCTGGCCTGCCTACACCCACAAGCCACCGTCTTACAGTTCCCGGAGAAGCCACCCACCTCACAATCAATTCCCCTGTTGCTTAAGCCAGCTTGCAGTCCGGCACTTGTAACCAAATATATCACCCAAAACCTACTGACTCAGAAGTTTTGTATTTTTAACAGGTTTCCAGGTGATTCACGGCCAAACGGTGCTTGGGAAGCACTGACTCCAGCACTGCCAATTAGGCTGCGGGTGTCCCGGGACTTGGCACACCTCCACGTTGGAACCTGCCCGCCCCTGCGCCAACAGCGGCTCCTCAAACTCCGTTCTGTCATCCTACTGGCCTGGGAGGGGGCCGGCCCAGCCACTAGCCCAATCCCTGAGCAGCCTGGAACCACGAAGCCCAAGAGGGTGAGCCCCTTGAGGCCTTCTCTGAAGATCATAAAAGACACAGAATGTGGGGGATGATCTTCCTAGAGCAGAGTCTTGAACGGAGAACAGATCTCTCCTGGGCACTACCTCCTTCTGCCAGACACTGTACTGAGTGTGGGGGTGGAAAGGTGAGTGGGGGCAGGGGGGCTCCATGCTCTCCGAGGCTCCCACTCAAGGGGAGGAGATCCCCCTTCAGGAGGCCACCACTAGTGAGCACATGACGACAGACTGTGCAGGGAAGGAATGGGGTCTTGGCACACACTGCTTTCGGCCCCCAATATGTGTTACCTCCTTCCTTCTCACCTGAATCAGGACCACCTGAACACTCCCCAGCCTCCTCGGCAGCTACATGTGGCCACATGACCGTGTTCTTACCCGCGGGGGTGTGAGCGGAAGTGTGTGACTTCCTTAGAAGTGTCTTGTGGTTGGAGAGGTGAGCCTTTCCTTGCTCTTCCCTCCTCCTTCTCATTGGAATGGGGCTGTGATGGCCAGAGCTTCGTGCTCTCTGAGGAGTGTGCTAGATGTCGAGACCCATGGAACGAGATAGAAGCCTACGTTCCTAAGGATTGTGGGACCACCACAGAAGTCCAGCGCTGCTTACTTCTAAGCCTCATTTACACAGAGAGAAAGAAACCTTGATCGTGCCCAGCCAGGGCAGTCCTGGTGCGATGGTGCTCTGAGAAGTTATAACAGGGGGGCTCACTGAGAAGGGGAAAGGCCTCTTTGAGGAGATCTCTTTGACCTGAATGATGAATAGGAGGTGGCTTAGGAGAGCAAAAGCAGAGACGCTCTCAAACTGGAAGGACAGCTACTGAAGTACTAAGAGGAGGCCATGGAGGCCAGAGTGAAAAGAAAGGAGAGAGTGGAGCCTGGGGCACAAGCGGGGGAACAGCATGGAGGGGGTTCCAATTGTAAAACACCTTCTTCCTCTCAGGCTAAGAGCATCACAGATCCCCAATTCTGTTCAACAAGCACAGCCTTGCTAGCGGGCACATTATTCCCCTTTTACAGACGAAGAACTGAGAGTAGGTGACAGCCTCAGGGCAATTCAGCTCACCTGAATCCCAGCGCAGCCCTTGTTAGCGGGCACATTATTCCCCTTTTACAGACGAAGAACAGAGGAGAGTAGGCGACAGCCTCAGGGCAATTCAGCTCACCTGAATCCCAGCCAGGATTTGAGCCCAGATCCAGCTGCCTCTCGAACCCTGAACTTCCCCTGTATTATGCTCTCGGCCATTCCCAGGTGATCGGGTTTCCGGGGGTCCAGCCAGGTCCACCAGGAGAAGAACATGCCATTCAGCCTTGGCTCCAAGCACTTGAGGTTTTCCAATTGTGTCAGGGCCTCAGAGATCACTGATCTTAAGCCTGTACTGGGCAGATGGGGAGACTGAGGCTTGGGGAGAGGTTGCAGCCTGGTCAAGGCCACACAAACCATCTGTGTAGACAAAGGATAGGGAGAAGGCTATGCTGGTTCCCAGGAGAGGTCAGCAAGGGCCAGGAAGCTGGTCTGCAAAACTGTCCCTTTATTCAAACCCAGATGGCTAACTCTGACTTATGGAAGGCAAGCGCCATCATAACACAGACCCCAGAGGGACAGCTTCACACCCACTGTCCCTTCTCCCCTGAGCATCATTTCCTCAGAACCACCTGCTGAGATGAAAGTCCTTTGTAAATTAGAAAATGTTCTGCTAATATGGAAGCTGGATATAATTAGGTATAGCAAGAGTTGGTGCCTTCATGGTGTTTTTGAATATAAAAAAGTTTCCTCTGCCCCCTCCAATTATCTTATCCATGACAGAATTCACACCATTATCAAATCATCCCTCCAATTACAGTATTGTCTATTTTTAATCCATTCTGGGAAATGCAAATCCCTGCTAAGAACAATAAAACATTGTGTAATCAATCATTTACACTTTAGTATACATGAGTTTAGTATAAACGAGGAGAGACTCAAACAGGAAAGGGAAGTCTGTTAGGGAAAAGGGTGATGGGAAGGGATAATTACAGAGCCAAGCACTGATTTGCTGGGGTGTCACTTCCTAAAGGTGAGGTCAACCTGGACACAGTGGAGACCTGGCCTCTTAAAGCCTGGGGGTGAAAGAAGACCCAGGAGTCACCCAGAAGAAGGGATTGGATGCCTAGTCGTTATGTGGCCATTCCTTACCTATAATCTCACTCCCCTACTGGCACTACCCCACAGTCTGCAAACACACTCAAGATTCTCTTACCCAGAAAAGTCCAACCACCTCTTTTTTCAACATTCCTGAATATCTGAACAAAAAGAATATGGGTTTTAGAGTCAGATAGTCCTGAGTTTCATACTTGACTGTCACTTGCAACCAAAATTGTGCCAAAAGCCACCGTTTCATGCATCTTTGTACCACCAGATTTAAGCACGGAGCCTGACACAAGAAACAGCCTCCAAAAATATTACTGAGTTGCATCCTCTGATCCTCAGTGTCCTCACCTGCAAAATGTCACCAAGGAAAAGCACAGTAAAAAGTATTTTATTTATACTAAAGTGTAAATGACTGATGAGATATTGCATTTTAAAGAGGGGTATGCCTGGACTAAAAGGGACAAAAATGATAAATCTTTTCTCGTAGGGCAGTGGTTCTCAACCGTCCTAATGCCATGACCCTTTAATACAGGTTGAGAACCGCTGTCGTATGGCAATGATGAGGACTAAATGAGATCATTTATTAATGAATGTAGCAAATATATAGTGAGCACTGACCGCATGCCAGACCCAGTTGTGAGGATAAAGAAGTGAACAACCAAAAAAGTCCCTGCTGACATTTAGTGTGGAAGACAGACAATAAACTAACAAATAAATGAATAACTTAATATGTAATTTAAAGTCAAATCACAATCAGTTCATTGAAGAAGATTAAAAGGGAATTAGGGGACAGTGTGTGATGGTGGAGTATGATTTTATTGTTTTATTTTTTGTGGGGCTTGTTTTTATTAAATGCATTGGGGTGACATTGATTAAAAGGATCATATAGGTTTTAGGTGTGGGTTTCTATGTTACAAGATCTGTATATTACACTGTGTGCCCACCACCCAAAGTCAAATCCCCTTCCATCACCATATATTAGGCCCCTTTCACTCCTCCACCTCCAATCCCCTTCCCTCTGGCAACCCCCACACTGCTGTTTGTGTCCACGAGTTTCGGTTTTATATCCCACTTATGAGTGAAATCATATGGTATATGGTCCTCTTTTTCTGACCGACTTATTTCCCTTAGCATAATATTCTCAAGGTCCATCCGTGTTGTTGCAAATGGCAGTATTCCATCTTCTCTTATGGCCGAGTAATATTCCATTGTGTATATGTACCACATCTTCTTTATCCAATCCTCTGTCACAGACCTCTGTCACAGGACACTTAGGTTGTTTCCATGTCTTGGTCACTGTGAATAATGCAGCAGTGAACATAGAGGTGCACATATCTTTGTGAATACATGTTTCGAGTTTTTCAGATATATACCCAGAAGAGAGATTTCTGGCTAATATGGTAGCTCTATTATTATTATTTTTTTTTTTTGAGGAATTGCCAGACTATTTTCCATAATGGCTGTACCAATCTACATTCCCACCAGCAGTGAATGAGGGTTCACTTTTCTCCACAACCTCTCTAATACTTAATATTTGTCTTGTTGACAAATAAGACAACAGGTAAGAGGCGGTATCTCATTGTAGTTTTGATTTGCATTTTCCTAATTGCTAGTGAGGCTGAACATCTTTTCATATAGCTGTTGGCTGTTTGTGTGTCTTCTTGGGAGAGGTGTCTGTTCAGGTCCTCTGACCATGTTTTAATTGGGTTGTTTGTTTGTTTGGTGTTGAGTTATATGAGCTCTTTATATATTTTGGAGGTTAAACCTTTGTCGGAGCTACTGTTTGCAAAATCATCTCCTATTCAGTCGGCAGGCTGTCTTTTTGTTTCATTGTTGGTTCAGGCACTATCAGGATATTGAAAATGCAATCCACAGAGTGGGAGAGAATATTCACAATATGTACATCTGTCAAATGACCCATATTAGGATAGAAAGAATTCCTACAAAATAATAAGAAAAAGACACTTCTGAATAGAAAAATAGGCAAAACTTGGACAGATCTTCAAACACAGGATATCTCAA